TGGCCCTACCACTTTTCAGGTGAGTGACTCTAGGTAGGTTATTTCATTTTCTTTCAGCCTCAATTTCCTCATCTGTAAAATAGGAATGTTCCTATAAAGAAGGTAACATACATTAGAAGGAAGATTTCATGGAGAGGGTAGGTTTGGGGCTGCCACAGAAGTGCCTTATGCATAGAGAATTCACTCCTATAACAAGTATTTCTGAATACCTGCTATGTGCCAGGCATTCTTCTAGTTACTAGGGATATGACAGTGGAGAAAACAGATTAAAAATCAGGCCACATGGGCTGGGCTGGGATATGGCTCAGTGGTAGAGTTTTTGCCTTTCATGTACAAGGCCCTGGGTTTGATCCCCAGCACCACAAACACACACACACACACACACACACACACACAAAACCAGGCTACAGATTAAAAACTGGGCCAAGCGTATAGTTTAGTGGTAAAGCTCTGGCACAATATGCACAAGGCCCCAGGTTCCATCCTCAGCACTGCAAAGAACAAGAACAGAAACAGATAAAAATGCCTACACTCGCCAGGGGTGGTGGTGCATGCCTGTAATCACAGCACTCAGGAGGCTGAGGCAGGAGGATCGTTGTGAGTTTGAGACCAGCCTGGGCTACAAAGTGAGCTCAAGGCCAGCCTGAACTGCATAGCGAGACCCTGTCTCAAAAAGACTAAAAACAAACAAACAAAAAAGTAACTCTATACTTTTACAATTATTTTTGTACTGAGGATGGAACACCAGAGCACTCTACCACTGAGCTTCATTCCCTTTTTATTTTATTTTTTATCTTGAGACAGGGTCTAGCTAAATTGTCCACACTGGCCTTGAACTTGCCCCAGCCTCCTGAGTACTGGGATTTACAGGCATGTACCACTACCACACCCAGTTTATTTCACAGTCTTTCTAGGTGTATGCTTTTACATATGCTCCCAGCCTGGTTCACAAAACGACCTTATGGACCGAAGTGTGCCCCTACTTTACAGGTGAGGTGGACTTTCCCAAAACCAGACAGTAAGAAGCATGTGAAGCTCAGAACTTGGAGCCAACAGCCTGTCCAAACGAGCTTCACCGTCTTCTGACACTTTGGCTGGATATGTGGGAGGCACGCAGGTGAAGTGTGCTGGGAGGGAGTCTCTGCAGAGGAACTAGAGTGGGAAAGAGCTGAGTGTGCAGCCTGCCCTGCCACTAGGACAGCAGAGGGACAAGGCTGGAAAGTGTGTGAAGTGCATGCGGGGAGGGGCATCGGGAGGGAGGTAGAGGCAGAGGCCTGGGTAGGACTGAGTCTGAGGAAGAGGACTCTAGCTGCTTGATAGGACTGGAGGCCTAGAAGAGGGCAGCATCCAGACAAGCAAGGAGGAAGTCAGAACCAGAGGCCAGCCACTCTGGAGGCTGAGGCAGAAGGTTCACTTGAGTTCACCAGTTCAAGGACAGGCTTGGCAACATAGCAACATTTTATCTCATTAAAAAATAATAATAATTTTTTAAAAATCAAAGGCACTGGCCTTGGTAAGAGAAAGCCAAACTGGGGTGGGGTAGGCTCAGTAGAGGGGTGCAACCAGGCAGGATTCCAGAAGCACAGTAATAATGATTAATATGGAGAGTATTTACCGGGTACTTAACTATTTTGTGCACTAGGAATCTACATTATCTCGCTGAACATATAAGATAGCACTACACAGATCCTCTCACTAGCCCTATTTCATAGATGAGGAAACTAAAGCCCAGGGAGGTAAACTTGTTCCTGTAAGGCAGGGTTTCCCAGCCGTGGCACAGTGACCGTTCGGGGTCAGAGAATTCCTTGTTGTGGGGGAAGGCTCTGCACAATGTGAGCTACTCTGTAGCCTCCCTGGCCTCAATGCCAATAGCACCTCTGTCCCCAGTTACGACAAAAACCATCTTCAGACACTGCCAAATGTCTCCGGGGGAAGGGCAGAATCACCACCAGCTGAGAACCACTTGTCTAAGGTCAACTGTTAGTAGCAGAACTGGAATTTTAATACAGGTTGGCCTCCCTCCAGAGGCCAACGTCTTACCATCCAGCTGTAATCCTGGGCAGGTGGGAGTCTGAGTGGGGGAGTCAGAGGGGATCCTAGGCTCCTGGGGAGGCAGCTAAGCAAGGATGGGAAGGGGTGACTCTGTGAAAGGTCTACGGAGGTAGGGGTGATTTGGCGACCCAAAGTCATGGTTTGGGGATCTCCTTATAGGTTTGTTTGTGTCTTTTTTTTGTCTTTTAGAGACAAGGAGGCAGGATTTCACTATGCAGTTTAGGCTGGCCTTGAACTCACTTTGCATCCAAGTTGGCCTCAAATTCCCAGTAATCCTCCTGCCTCAGCTTCCTGAGTGCTAGGATTACAGGTGTGCGTGCGGCACCACATCCGGCCTTATAGTGAGTTCTTGAGGGAGAGTCCTTGTCTTATTCCTCCTTGGAACACAAGGTCTGAGACAGAATAATAAACTGCTGAGTCATCTGTGCACAGGTGATAGTTATAACCTTGACAGTGGGAGACCGCGCCCCTTCTTAAGCAGCTGCCTATGACAGTCATGGGTTAGGGGCTATGTGGAGGTGGATCTCATTTATCTTCATCTTGACATTATGAGGTAAGTGTTATTATCTTTACTTTATATGCCAGGAACCCAAAACTCTGACAGCTAATTGGCCTGAGGTAGCAATGCCGGCTAGACTGCTCTCTCTCAATGGATTAGGTGAGATGAGGCTGGCTCATAGCTGACTGTGGGGTGAGCGAGGAGGAGGCCCTGAGAAGCAAGTGACTGAAAGCTATTTGATAGTAGAGAATTCTCCATTGAAATGAAACCACACACACACAAAAAACAACATACCAGCAGCCCAGCATGGTGGTGCAAGCCTGTAATCCCAGCACTCCAGAGGCTGAGGCAGGAGGATTGTTGCAAATTCAAGACCAGCCTGGGCTACAAAGTGAGCTTGAGACCGGTCTGAACTGCACTGTGAAACCCTGTCTCAAAAGGACAAAAAACCCAAAAAAACAATATACTAAATGACAGCCAGGCGCAGTGGTACAGGCCTGTAATCCCAGTACTGTGAAGGCTGTGGTACAAGTATCTAAGTGGCAGAGGCAGAGCCACTCTAGTTGGGGTATCCCTGCTGATAATCCCTTGATCCCCACCCCAGGAAGGCCCCCAGAACTCTGAAGAATATACTCTTCTCTCTTTTTTTTTTTCTGGTACCGGGACTCAAACTCAAGACCTTGTGCTTACCAGGCAGGCACTGTGCCGCTGAGCTAAATTCCCCAGCCCCAATATACCCTTCTCTTGATAAATGGTCTCTGAGGCTGGGAAGAGCTGCTCAAGGTCACATGGCTATTGCCCCGAGCAGTGGTGCACCCCTGTAATCCCAGCACTCGGGAGGCTGAGGCAGGAGGACCGTTGTGAGTTTGAGACCAGCCTGGGCTACAAAGTGAGCTCAAGGCCAGCCTGAACTGCATAGCAAGACCCCGTCAAAAAAAAAAAAAAAAAAAAAAGGAGAGGAAAAAAAAAAAGGTCACATGGCTAGGCAGGCCCAGAATCCCCATGCTAGGGCTCTGACCTGATGTCAGTTACCATAGGGACTAGGCAGCAGTCCGGCAGGTTTTAGAAGCCAGGCCACTGCAAGGGCCTGGCATTGTGTTCCCAGCATGCCGTGCAAGGGAGGCAGGCAAGTCTCAGCTCATGGGTCCAGCCAGGCAGGAAGCAGCAGCTGGGTAAAAGTAGAGAACCAGCCCCTCACTTCTCACACCTGGGTGGGTCTCCCTGATCACAACCCTTTCACAATCAAGATTGCCTTTCAGATAGATCTCCTTGAGGAGCACAAGCAAACACCATTATCCCCACATTACCGTAGAGATCGAGGCTAAGTGAGGCTGGGCAGGTTAACTGATCAACCCAAAGCTGACAGGAGACAGACGCAGGCCCCCACTCCGGGTTTCTGCTGCTTCTCTGAAATTCCGCCAAGACCACATGGAAGCCAGTGCAACAGCAAATCTTAGGTCCTGCCCAGGAGCTCCGTTCCCAACATTCCACACCGGCTCCCCCACCCTACTGGGCGGAGGCCTGGCCACCCCCGCCAGTGCCTCGCCTCGGGCTCCCTGCGTTGTCACAGTGCTGGCCACCGTAGCAATACTGCTACAATATGCGGCGCACTAGCGCCCGCAGAAATCCGCGGGTAGGATGTTCAGCAGCAGCCTCCAGCCACCTGCGGATCTGGATCTCGGGGCGGGCGCAGCCGGGCGGGCTCCCCCACCCCGAGGCGAGGCACTGACGCAGGCGGCGGCGCGTGGGCGGCTGCGTGCGGTCTGTGTGTGTCTGTGTGTGCGGTTGCTGGGGCCTTCCCTGCCTCCTAAACGGGGGTTTCCTTTCCCTGTTACCAAGGCAACAAACAAGCGCCACAACTCCACCACACGAGGGGGGGGCGGGGGGAAGAGATCCTCGTGCTCCCACCACGCTTCCAGGAAGGGAGGCAGAAGGGGGTTGCTTTTCTCTTCCGAGGGGTTTCCTAGAACAAGGGACCCGGTTTAGGGCGGACAACAGGATGTATGGGCACCGTTTTGTGGGGACACGCTCTTTAAGAAATACAATGCTATCTTTGCAAATTTCACTCCGATGTATGACCATATGGAAACACCGGCCAGCTCCTTTCAGAGCCCTAGAGAGGCCTGTGCAACTCAAGCCCTGAAGCTTCACCTTCCTTAGCTTCAGGGTATATTTGTCCTGTCCCCAACCTCCAAACACCTGAGGGTCCCCTTTGAAGGCTTTGCCTGGCTATCATGCTAAAGGATCAGCTGAGAAAGTGAAGCCTCAGTTGGTGGGCAGGGTGGGGCTAAGGGGGAGTTCTGGAAAAGGGGGAGGGGCCAGGGAGGTTAAGGGGTGGGCAGCGTCTCCGAGGATCAGGAGGCCCTGAGGGACTCGGAAAGGACTGTGCCTGGGCCAATTTCTCAACATTCACTGCAGAGAAGCCAGGACTTCAGAGGTGGGAGGAGTCAGGGAATCCCGAAGCCAGCCCCTCCCCCATTTGTCCAACTCCCCAGTCTCTGGCCCACTATCCCTAAGCCAGCCCACACGCCGGTCCCAGAGGGCACAAGGCACACCTCACCTTTGGTCTCTTCATTACGGTGACAGGTAATGAAAAAAACCACTGGAAGAGAGGGGGGCAGGAGCCTGCAGCAGGGGCAGGATGCAGGGCAGAGGCGGGCACACCTTCCAGCCCACACCTGCCAGGGTGCCCAGGGAGAGGGGGAACGTTTCCTCTTGGCCATGGCCCCCCAGTCTTACCCAGGGAAGGCAGACATGGTGCTGACATTCTGGTGGGGGACTCCCAGCTTGGGAGGGGAGGATGGCATCCAGCAAAACTATTCCCCGGACCTCCAATCTCCTCCCCAGAGCTCCAGAGCGCGAAGGTCTAGAGGTGGTGAGGCGGCTGGCATGCTTCTTGAGGGTGGAAGGGGTGAGCCCCACACTGCTAGAAGCCATACGTACCAGGCTGGGCTCCTGGAGGCTTGTGGTGGGAGGGAGGCTGAGGACCAGTCTGGCTTGGGGTGGGTCCTCACTCAGGTCCCCTAGTCGGTAGGGGGATGAGAGAGTTGAGCACAGGGAGGAGAAAGTCTGCTGGGGGTAGGGAGGAGCAAGGGACCACATCTGGAGTCCAGGCTGGGGGCACTCAAAGCCAGCACATGAGCAGAGAGGCTCAGGAATTGAGGAGGGGGCGACTGCCCTGACTTAAGCCAGTGCTCCAGCCCCAGATCCTGGTGGGGCAAATATTTACCCGATGACAACGGTTGCTAAGCAGAAGGAAGGAGGGGCATGGCCAGTAGCTGGAGGCCTTTCCAGGCTCCTCCCCGTCTGTCAGAAAAGACAGTTGAGAGAGAGTGAGCCGTGTTTTCCTTGGGCAGGCGCTCGCCCCACCCTGCAGGCTCAGCTATGGCCACCTCGCCATGGAGGTACATCTTGGGGTCACCTCTACTTGCCACCAAGCCCAAGCTGGCAACAGGCCAGAGGGCTGGGCTGGGGCAATTTAATGTTTGTGCTGCCACCAGGCCTTCCCCCACCTGGGGCAGCTGTAGGGGCTCAGATCTTACAAAATGCCCCCTTCCCTATCTATTTAGTGAGCAACTGGGGGCTGAGAAGCGGGTGCCAGAAGCGAGGATTCAGTGGGGGAGGCGTAGGACGGAGGGCAGGTGGGAGGAGAGGGAAGGAGGACCCACTAGAGGCTTCCAAGGGGCAGGGCTGTTGGAGTCCCAAGGGGCCCTCCCTGCACTGGCCCCTGGGCAGAAGAGGGGCTAGGAGCAAGGCAGGGAGGGTGGAGTGTCCTCAGATGGTGCCAGATGTGGCCCATGTGATGTGGGCCGTCCCTGGCATAGGCACAGCACGGGCAGGATGTGCCACAGTGCTGGAAAGTATTAGTCAGAAGTGGGAGGGGGCAGCCAGCAGGGGGGAGCGGGGAGAGGGGCAGCTAGTCCAGGACCCCCCTCCAAAGCAGATGAGGCAAAGGGCTCAGGGCCTACGGGAGGCGTTCTCACCCCTCTGCCCAAGCTTCTATATGCAACATGGGGATCCTGACACCTCTTCTCAGGGTTGTGGGAGGCATCCCTGGCACAAGATGTGGCCAGCACACAGATATGACCCAGCACACAGAGGGACTTGCTGTAGGGTCTCTTCCACGCCCACTTGCCAGGGTTTGGTCCGAAGGGCTTGTCACTCCCAGCCACAGCCCTCTATTCCCTGGGATACACAGGCTGAAGGGAGGGCACACACAGGAAGCTGCTGAAGCTCCGTGGTGCCCACGGGAGAGGTTCGCAAGGACTGGAGGGTTGGCCAGAGTGGGTGCAGGGATATAGCGCCCAACTCCACCGCAGCCCCGTGGGCCCATTCAGAAACAGGGGCAGAGGAAGGCTGTCGCTGTGAAACAAGCGGAGGCAGGACTCAGGCTATACCTCAGGAGTGACGTCCCAGCACCCACACACAGGTACAATCCCAGAGAAAGAGGGGATCCTGGGAAATAAAGCAAGAGCTCAGGGTGGGCCAGGGCGCAGCAGGTAAGCTAAGACCTACAGAAACAGGACGCAGGACTCTACTGAGAGGCACGTTCAGACTGGCAACCAACACGCTGTTGTTTTCCAAACTCCCATTGGAAACTTTGAAAAATACACATGGAAACGTGACTCACTGCCCCCTCCCCAGGGCCCCCCTTTCCTGATTTTTCTCCCAAGAATTAATTCAAGTCACATTCTCACTGAAACCAAAGCTTGATGAGGGAGGCTGACAGTGCCGCGGGAAGGGCTGGAAGTGGGGGGACAGCAGACAAGGATGTGGCGACCCCCGCCCCACACACACAGAGGAACCGGTGGGGAGGAAGAATTCCAACTTCAAGCACTTGAGACACTCATAGGGGAAGTAGAAGGCCTCAGCCACAGGATCGCCACTGAAACCAAACCATCTGAAGGCCCAGTGGTGGACAAGAACACACCTGTGGTGCTCAGTCTCCCAACCGGAAGGGACAGGATCTGGACAGAAACACACAAGTCCTGACCGCCATGTCTGCAGCCTGTCTAGGGTACCCTGCTGTCCCGTGTGTCGGAGGCCAAGGGAGCCTGCTCTCTGACCTTCCCCTTGGACCCATTCCCCATGTCACCACTAAGGCCAGGCCCCAGAAGTTGAGAGCAAGGTCTCCCCGAACTCGCTCTCCTCCACTGCCCACTGTGTGTCATGGACCCAGTGCAGTGTGTCCCGCCCTGTGGGGTGGGGAGGATCCAGGCGGGCCTGGCCCAACATGGTGTCTGTGGGCCAGGAATTTCCAGCTTGTCCCAGAGAAGCCAGGAAAAGGCAGGGCCTGCCTGGAGGCCAAGGGTGAGTGTCCATCCACTCTTGAGAATTCCTAGAGAACCCAAGGATTCCCAGGCCAGGAGTGATTCCCCAGCTCCCACACGTGCCATCCCTCCTTGGTGTCCAGATGGAGTATTTGTGTCTCTGTTTTGTTTCACACAGTGCTGGCAATAGAATCCAGGGCCTCACACACACTAGGCTAGTACTCTACCACTGAGCTGCAACCCCAGCCTCAAGCCGGGTTCTCCACGTCTCCTCAGTACCACTCACCCTCTCATCTCCCTCGGCCAAGGAGCTCCAAAGCCTGCCTTTCTTCCTCCAGAATCTCCTCTCTCTGTGCCCCCTTAAAGCTCCCTGGCTCTCACCACCATCAGCCTCACCTGGGTGACAGCAGGCACCTCCTGCTAGTCTCTCTGCCTCTACCCCATCTTTCCCCTCCCTCAACCACAGCAATGATCTTTCAAAAAAGAAAATTTTGTTATGTTTCCAGACTTCAGACCAATAGTGACTCCCCACTGTGTTCGTCATAAAGCCAAAATACCTTGACTTGCTGGTTAAGCCCTCATGACCAAGGCTCCACTTGCATTGTGGGCCTCATTCCTTGCCCCCCCTTTTGAGATAGGGTCTCATTATGTTCAGGCTGGACTTGAACTGGCTGTATAACCCACCCTGGCCTCAAACTCACAATCCTCCTGCCTCAGCCTCCTGAGACCTGTGCGTTGGAATTACAGGCAGGTGCCACTATGTCGAGCTATCACTTGCCCTCTAAATGCCAGCAGTCTCAACTCCGGTTTCTTCTAGGGCAGCCTTCATGTACTTGGCACGTATTTCGCCTTTGATCAATTAGCCAGCCTCAGCTAAAACTGCCACCAAGTCTCAACTGGGGCCTCCACCCAGCCTTCAGTATCCCTTGTTACATTGTGGTGACGGTCCCTGGGCATGTGTCTTCTCCCATGCGGGGACCTCCTGGAGGGTTGGGGCTGCACCCTCTGCTGTATACCCACCGCCCAGCACAATGCTTGGTACATGAAGGTACTCAGTATACCTTTTATTTTTTATTTTACGTGTGTGTACATGTAGTACTGGGGCTCAAACCCAGGGCCTTTGCACTGGACAACATCTCCAGACCTTTTTATTTACAATCATTCATGTATTTAGCTTTATTTATTTATTTAGTACCAGGAATCGAACTCAGGACCTTGCGCTTGCCAGGCAGGCGCCTGTGCCGCTGTCTTGGTTACTTTTCTCTCGTTGCTGGGACAAAATACCTGACGCCCAAAATTAAGGAAGGAAAGGTTTATTTTGCTTACAGTTTGTGGAGGTTTCAGTCCATACTTGGCAGATTACAAGGCAGAGTGGCACATGGCAGAGGGCTACAGCTCATGGCGACAGAACACAGCAAAGCAACAAGCACACATAAGGGAGGAAATGGC